AATGGCAAGACTCCCATTCACTTCAATGGAAAAAGAATTACCCCTAGCTATCATGACTTGAGTGGAGGAGAGTCACACATGATGCAATCAGGACACATTTGGTGTTTAAGAGGGTTCAACAGTGCTCTCGTAAGATTAACTTGGACTATGACACCCAGCTCTTCCAGAAACTTTTATATACTGCTCAGCCTATTCATTCAACATTTAAAATAGGTAACAAAATATAGAGAAAAAAGAATAAGGAACACCGGAGCATGACAGGTAAGATATCTAAGGAAATAAATTAAGTTACCATGAGCAACATAAAAAAGATTCAAGAGCACACTGTACTCTTACATAACCAAGAGATTCTTAGACTGAAAGTCCTAATCCCAATAAACTATTACTAAAAATTAACATGTGTTATCTTTTCTTCAAATAATATTCTGTAATTTTGAGTTTATGTAAGTTTTTACAAAGAAATATCACTTTTGCTAGAATGGCAGTAGCTGCAGAAAATCATAACAAAAAACCCACCACGGGTAAAATATCAGGTTGGTACTGGTACTCACTGTGTGATTTGATCTGAGAGCAGAAATAGATAGAAACAAGGCAAATGAAATGAAAGAAAACTTATAAAATAAAAATAAAAAGTCTAGAGAAAAAGAAAAGAAAAGAATAGAATTAGATTTGACCTACCTTGGAGCCAATCTACACCTTCTTGTAACCCTTCTCCTTTAAGTGCATCACTAGCACTAAAACAAACAGAGACTAAACTGTAAAATCCATGTAAAACACCGTGTTGCATAAAAGTGGTTATCATATCTCAATTTTGTGAACTACGTGATAAGTATAGCAGAATACCTCCAAATACAGCATGTGTCAGTATCAGATGTTTTATTCTTTAACAAGAAGGCAGCCATACATACATGAGCTAATTTAACTATTTTGCTAAAACTATTCTAGAATTGCTCCTCTGGACGGACACGCTTCTCTACACTAACAGAATATTTTCTCTACACTAACAGAAATAGGATTATTAGAGTTTAACCAGTCAATTGATAAGTCGATGCTTAATCGGTCAATGTTACCTGTTAAACTCTGCCTGTCTGGGGTGTCAGCTGCCCACCTTTCTCCTTGCTGCAGGCACTGCAGTTTAACTTGGAGTCAGCGGGCTTCGACCAACACTATGGGTCCTGGCAGCCGGCCCTGCTCCTGGGGAGCCAGCTGCCCGCTCTGTGGGCTATGCAGTTTAGGAGCTAGCAAGCACCAACTTAATAGCAGAGCCTGCAGTAGGGGCAGCCAGTTCCCTGGGAGCAGGGCCAGCTGCCGGGTGTCAGACCCACTGTATGCTGACGGCTCCTAAACTATAGAGCCCACACTTAACCAGAACGGTTACTCTGCTATATTCCACTGTGTAGATAGGCTATTAAGAATAACTTCAGCAAAAAGAGTGATTAACATGCATTCCTCCCACCTGGCTCAGGGATAGGGGCCATGCTGAGGTTGAATTAGATGCAATTAGGTGCAATTAGATCATGACGCACCCGTTGGTAATCCCCAGTTGGCATTAGGAATCACTAGCAGTGGATGTCTGTTAGGATATTACCCAGGCTAAACCCACTGTTAGAATCAAGGAACTATTATAATTGGCTACTTACAATCCCTCTTTTCGTTGCACTGAAATTAACTTAGCACAGCAGAGTTAGGCCCACTACATTTGTTATTCATAAATCCATTTACAAAGGAATATGGCCAATGCTAACCTATATGTCCTTTGATCCTTTTGCAAAAAACAACAAGAAAAACCACCCAAACAAAATACTGTAGCCATGTTATCGCATGCAAACTGTAAAAGCAGAGAAAGGCTAATAATTTATGAATAAGAGGTGAATTTTCAAGAATGCTAGTTTCTGTGCGAAGTATTTTACTAACATAATACAGAGGAGGAATACCTGAGTCACCATATCTAGATATTTACTGAAAGCAGCAGCTTTTTATTAGGGCTGTCAAGCAATTAAAACATTAAATTGTGCTGTTTTGAATGTTTTCTAAATTTCCAAATATATAGATTTCAATCACAACAGACTGCAAAGTGTACAGAGCTCACTACAGTGCTATTTCTTGTTCAGCCAATTGTTCAGACAAACAAGTAGGGATACAATTTGCAGGAAATAATGCCGCTCACTTCCTGTTTCCTGTGTTACCTGAAAGTGAGAAGAGGAATTCACATGGCACTGTTGTAGCCAGTGTTGCAAGGTTTACCTACTGGATATGCTAATGATTCATATGTCCCTTTCATCCTTTAATGACCATTCCAGAGGAAAAACATCCAAGCTGATAGTGGGTTCTGCTTGATAACAATCTAAAGCAGAGCAGGCTGACAGTTTTGTTGTTGCTGAATCAGATGCCAACAGCAAAAGATAGATTTTTTTGGAGGTGGGGTGGGAAGAGGAGGAGAGGTTCTATAGTTTCCACATCTGAGTGATGCTCTTTTAAGACTTCTGAAAGCATGCTTCACACCTTGTCCCTCTTAGATTTTTGGTGCCCCTTCAGATTCTTAAATGTTGTGTCACATGCTGTACCTATTTTTAGAAATCTCACATTGGTACCTTCTTTGTGTTTTGTAAACTCTTCTGTGAAAAGTGTTCTTAAAACAAAGTTGTTCTGGGTCATCATCCGAGATTGCTTTAACACGAAATATATGGCAGAATGCAGGTAAAAGAGAAGACAGACAATTCTCCTCCAAGGAATTCAGTCACAAAGGTAATTAACACTTTAATGAGCATCATCATCATCATCATAAGCATGTCTTCTGGAATGGTGGTCGAAGCATGAAGGAGCATATAGATGTATAACATGTCTGGCACAAATAACTTGCAACATGAGCTACAAAAGCGCCGTGTGAACACCTAGTCTCACTTTTAGGTGATACTGTAAATAAGAAGCAAGCAGCATTATCATTAGCATTAAGTGTCAACAAGCTTTTCTGTTTTAGTGACTGACTGATCAAGAAGTAGAACTGAGTGAACCTATAGGTTCTAAAGTTTTAGATGGTATTTTTCATTTCACCTCATACAAGTACTATAGTGAAATCTCTTTATCATGACAGTGTAACTTATAAATGGAGGATTTTTGTTACATAATTGCAGTTAAAAATAAAACTCTCTCCTTTTTTTACAATGCAAATTTGGAACAAAAATATAAAGTAAGCACCGTACACTAGGTATCCTATGTTGTAAGAGAAACAGTATATTTGAAAACATAGAAAAGCCACCAAAATATTTAATACATTTCAATTGGCATCCTAATGTTTAACGGTGTGATTGTGATTTAAAAATACTCACAATTATTATTGGCATCCTAATGTTTAACGGTGTGATTGTGATTTAAAAATAATCACAATTATTTTTTTAATCACGAGTTAACTGTGATTATTCAACAGCTCTACTTATTTTTTAAGTTTTGAGAATCATACGTGAAAGGAAGCTCAGAGCTGACCATTTCAGATTATAAAATGAAAAGCGTTTTCACTTCATTGTGACAGGATCTGGAGATTAGGCTTGCCTCCTTTCCAAAAATCCCCTGTGATTTAATTTTAAATTTTAGTGGTAGTTATACTCAACATTTTAAAACATTATCTAGAAATTATGCTTTGATTTTCTTGCTCTCTAACATTGCTTTAGTATAGCAGGAGCTGTTGTAAAAATACCAAAAAAAGGTACTTCTCAGGGTAAGTCTAAAATGTGATAAAAAAAACCACAGCACTGAGTCTCAGACCCATATGAGCAAACCCAGGATGCAGGGCTAAAAACAACAGACATTTGGGACTTGTTTGGAGCCCAGGCTCTGAGAGCCTCCTGCTTCATGGGGTCTTAGAGCCCAAGCTCCAGCCCACGCCCAATCCCACTGATCCAGGGCAGCTGTGGCCATGCTGTGGGTCTTTTATTGAGAGAGAAACATAGCCTAAGGATATATCTACATTGCAATGTAAGCCCAGGATTACTGGGACTTGAATCAAAGCCCAGGACTTGAGCATCCACACTCATTAGTGACCCTATCTTAAGAACTTGTGAGTGTAGGTTCCACACTGGAACTCCAGTGTACACAACACACAGACCTAAGTCCAACCAACAATATCACAGACTTCCTTCTTCCTCCTGAAAACTGGCTATTATAGCCCTTTGTTTATGGTGCAGTATGGGAAAACTTGACTGTCCATTCCACACATCATGTAAAGTTGTTGCAGCCCACAACACATTCTGCTGAATTATCTTTTTGGTCTGGATGCTCCCAGCATGGGAAGCCAGCAGCATGGCAGTCTCACCATTTGAAGAACATCACTTTTTGGACTTTTGCTCCTGTTTCAGGAAACAAACAGACCATCCTTCCATCCATCTACGGTGGATGTTTTTGGACCCACCACAAGCACCTGACAGAACTAATGATGGAGCAGGTTGCCGATGCTACAGACAGAGAAGACTCAAACTGGCTGTTGCTACTCATTACTCTTGGTATAGCTACTGACAATCCCTATGTAGATGGGTGCTTGTAGAGAAGGGCCACAAGCACAGACTGGTGGGGCTCACATAGATATGTGGACCTGGGATGACCAGCAGTGGGTCCAAAACTTTCACTTGAAGCAAGCTACATTTCTGGAGCATTGCAAGCAGCTTGCCCAACTCTGTAGGCTCACAACGCACATGTGTAGCTAGCCATGTCGGTCCAGAAGCAGACTGTTATCATCTGCAAGCTACCCCTTACTGCTATAGGGCTGTTGCTAATTAGTTTGGTGTTGGAAAGTCAACTGCAAATGACTAAGGCAATCAGGTGAGTTATTTACCCAATATTCCTAAAGCAACAGCTGGTTTTCAAAGAGAAGGCTTTTCAAACTGCACTGGGTCCATTGATGGGACTACTTCTGGTTAGTAGCCATTGAAAATGCTGAAGATTCACTGTGTGTGCAACGCAACGGTCAGAATAAAATGGTAGGGTTAAATGTGCTGAGCTGCCATATTTGAACGAGCGAGGTTGCTTTCCCCATGAGTTGAATGGCTATTCTTGGGACAGAGAGGACAAAGAACACTAGTCCATGGGATTGCAGGATAGTGTTGGTGGACTCTCAGGACCTCAGTTTGGGAATCCTGGATCCAAGCTGCATCAAACACTGCAAAATGATGGAGTCTGGGCCCATGTCCCAGCAGGACCCTGGCTTAAACCTGCCCAACTCATAGGGTCCTGGGCTCCAGACCTTAGTCAGATAGAACTGAGTATAGACAAAAGGGCTGAGCTCAAGATGGAATCTGATCTCAGGTTTTCATTGCAGCGTAGACACACCTTAGAAGTTTCATGGGCTAGTGACATGGATTAAAAAAAGGTTGGTGCCTGGAAGTCAGAAATCCTGTATATGCCTCTGATAGCTGTCACTAACAAATGCAAAGTTTTTCATTTGTGAAGATGGGCCATAAGCTATCAGCTTCAGAAAAATTTAAACGTTCACATACAAGTTTCTATTTTTTATAAATGCAAAGATAACTTTCTAAATATGAACTAATAGTATACGGTATTATCTATCTTAATCTGTACACAGATAACTCCACTGCCTGTTCTCTGATTGTTAGGTTTCCAAAGTAGTCACAGTGTGACACACCAAGATTCTGATCAGTTTCACAATACCTACTCAGAATCTTACAGTGTAGGAGAGGGCATGACTACATCACTGTGGTGAGAATCCACTACTATTTCACTTCCCATGAACAGTGAATGGAACTGTTCTACCCACTCGGAAACTGCCATCAACCTTCACTGGAGGCAACCCCTCCTACTAGTCTCTGGTTAATAGATTTCTGGTACATTTTTTAAGCCTAATTGTACATTATTTTACACAAATATTTTTTTCAATCAGATTTCATTGCAAGTATGGTACAAAGCTCCATATCTACTCAGATACCAGTGAAAAGATACGGAATTTTATCTGGCTTGCTCTCATATAAGTAATAGGATAGTTAATGCTATGGAAAAGTTACGTTGAACACTTCAGTCAACAACAAAAAAGGTGAGGTAATAGTACTTTACCAGATATGCCATGGTTTATCTTTGAGGTTCTCTAAAGACAGTAACTGAGAGACTTTCACAGATGATACCGCATCCCTGAGGTCCATCTTGTTAGCAAAGAACAAGATAGGTAATCTACGGTGTTTGATATCTAAGCATAAACAAAAGCAAGGAATACCAGATATTTGGTAATGCTCATCAACATTTGCAAGTAAATGAAACATGAACAATAAAAAAGGATATACTGCTTACCTGTCATTGTGGTCTGAGAAAGTTTTATCCTACTAAGATGCACACTGTTGGGGCACATGGCCTCAGCCGCATGCTTTGAGAGTGCTCACAAATTTTCTGGTAAGTGTTGGAATCCCCAACTCAAATACATTTATGGCTGCAGTTTTAGGTATTTGGTGAAGAGGAATATGTAGGGGTCAAATCATAGCTTCCAACCACCATACCCTTACAATTTAGTGAAGGACAGCATGTATAAATAGCTACAAAATTAACACTTTATACCCCTCTGACCAGAACTGAATTAGGATAGGATAAGCTATCTTCAGGTATCTTGGAGAATGCTCATTATTTTCTCTAAAGCTTAAAAAAATTGCACGCACGCACGCACACACCTGGTAATCCTTTACATCCCTCCTGTGCTCAAACAAAAGCTCTTTTTCCAGTAGGTTTTTTTTTTGCTTGCATGCTTTTTATAGTGAATGAAGTTGCAGTCTCATTTAGTTCTTGGCATTCTTACACACACACACAAGAATATGGAGAAATGCCTTTATGCCACAGATGAAAAAAAGCCAGTGAGAACTCACTCAGCACCTACTAAAATGCTCGGTCCTATCTGACTATGATAGAGTATTAAAGAGTTACTGAAACAAAACAAGCTCATCAGTGCCATAGCCTGCAAAAAAAAAAAAAAGAGAGAGAGAGAGAGCAATAGCAAGTCTAGCTATGGAATTACCTATGCTGCTATCAAGAAAAAGGATGGTGCATTAGGGTAGAAAATAAAGAAGACTACATACGACAACATCATCCAAATCTTGATAGGAAGATGCAATTTTTCCCTAAACTCCAAGGAACAGGAAGTAAGCAGCACTAAAAGATTTGAGTTTTTCAAAGAAATGTATTCTTTAAAGGACTACTAACTCATTTATCACTATATTAGTTGTTTAAACTTGGAACGCATAGACCAGCCCTTTGCTGACAAGCAAGTCTCATAATTCTGAAGTGGCTAGAGCTGTGTTTGTTTCTTTTTTTAAAACAACTCTTCATTCTTTCTTCATAATGGCTCATAGCTACATACACTTTCCACCCCACCCTTCCAACCCAATTCCCTCATTTAGAGATCAGGATGGCTATAAAAAAACAACAACAAACAATCAAACAGTAATTAAAACTGTCTGCCTTTCTAATCCAGCAACATCCACAATTTTAGTTAGCTGGATGACCACTTATGGTTATAACCAGGGCTCGACAAATAATACAATCTACTCGCCACGGGTGAGTAGATTGTAACCTGGAAGAGCTGGGTTCGGGCGATCTGCGCATGCGCAGAACGATCTGCCCATGCACTGATTGCCAGACAGCGCGGCTGGCGAGCCCTGGTTATAGCCTAGTTTCCTATGGCCTCATAAAGCATGTTTACAGCTTTTTCTGTGCTGTTATTTAGTTCTAATTTACCCAAAAATGTCTTCTAAGAGCCTAGTAAACAGTGGCAGTATTGGTAATGCTGCTAGATAATACTGACCTCCCATGGGTCGGCAAATTCTCTGGTTCAGCACTGGTTAAGTCCCAAGATTGTGGGACTAGAGAGGTTCGACCTGTACATTTTTTCAGATACCCTTTAGCAAATTAAAAGCCTGAGAACATACAATTTAAGTTTAATCAAAACAACTTTTAGGTTTCACAGTTAAATAGTCAGGATATGAAAACCTCAAGTCCCTACTGCAACATGAGGCTAGCTAAGTTAATCATTTTGTCTATGTGTAGCATTCTATGGGTACATTAAATATAAGAATATCACATACATGCAAAATAAACAAATTAATATTATCGTAAGAATCCTAATGTTTTTATTTCAACTGAGCAATGCTAATGTTACATGAAGAGTTTTACCACTCAATTTCCTAGGTTACTGAGATTTTCATGTGTTGTGGATTTTTTAGCAAGACAAGAGTTAAAGCCCATTTAAGACACCAACATCTTACATAAGTATACACTTAAATAAGAGTATTCATATCTGTCTAGAAGCAAACCTATACGTAAACAATATTTTCTACTGAATTTACCAACTAGAAAGTTCTATTAACTTGCTTCTCTGTTATTTCCCAATACAAATCTTTAATCTAGTATCTGAGACTAGTATAATTCCCAGGAGGTTATGCAATTACATATTCTACACCCTACTTTTATGCAAAGAGGCAGAAAACAAGCAAGCAAGCTAAGCAAGTAAACTGTAGCTAATTGTTAGTTTTTCACATCATTAATATTAATTTTTTCCCCAGATGTGTTTATGGATATTCTTAATGAGATTTTTACATACATCATTTCAAGTCAGCCATTTTTAAGTTATGTGAAGGGAGTTTTTCTAAAATGGAAAAAGTATTTTTCTAATCTTCACAGAACAGAAATTTTTGAAAATATTTTCCTCTGGCTTCCATTTTTTGCACACGAACATGCAAAGAAAACATTTGCCCAATAAGTTATTTTTTAGGAAATTATGAACTTGTGAAACAGTGGAGCTGAAACTGTTTTGCAACTTTGGCTTCCCTTCTATAGTATCAGTTTTTTATATACTGCTACAAAGTTATATAGCTACAACATACTCATAAAAACTACAGAAGAGATTCCCCTTTGCTGCCTTTAAATATATGAACATTGTAGCTACTGGTTAATGCTTGTTTCTCTGTTGTAATCAGAGGCTCTATTATCTTCCCTCTCTCACAGAAGCCTTGAATTTTATATATGAGCTTTCTTATATAAGAAAACTGGAAGGTATTTTAAAAGCATATTTTGGAGGTCAAGTAACCCAAGAGTGAATATCTATGCAAGATAGCAACCTTTAGAGGGCATCAAAGATCCTAACTGATGTAGAACAAAGTCATAATAAAAATATTACTGAGACTAGTGGTCACTAAAATTTCCATTATTTGTAATATGTGTTACCCAATTATAATAATTTATTTTTCTTTAACATGTTTTCATTTTCACAACACACCCACCTGCTGCAATCACAGGGCACACACCTATATGCATCTCTTTAAAAAAAATTAAAGCCATGAAATGAAACTGACTTTACCATCCTCTTCTCCCAACCACTCCAAACAAAATCATGAGAAAGACATGAATTTATACCTTATCTTAACATATGTAACTCTTTTCTAAGAAACCTTCAGGGATCATTGATCCTGAATTCTAGACACCATTTAATGGATCACCAGACACCAGTCTCCATTTAAATCAAGGGATATCTCCTTAAGTGCACCAATTGATCCCACTTGCCGCACATGAGAAGAAGTGGCTTTATCCCAAACAACAGCCACAGTAAATATTATTAACCTAATCTAAGTATTAACTGATCAATCTGAAACTACTTTAATCAAACAATCAAATCTAGAGCATAAGGTAATAAGTAGTGGCAAACACATTTTTCAGGAGCAAATCATGCCATACAACTCTAGTTTCCCTTTTTTGACATGATAACCAGTCTAAGAGTGAGGAGGGAGCAGTAGATACAAAGCAGTAAAAGCTGTGTTCTCCAGCACTTCGTCAATTGGAAAGTTCTATTAACCTGCTTCTCTGTTATCTCCCAATACAAATCTTTAATCTAGTAACTGAGACTAGTATAACGCCCAGGAGGTTTATGCAATTGTTCATTCTGTACTCTACTGTTATGAAAAAGAGACAGAAAACAAGTTAGCAAGCCAATATGAGTGATTTATTTTAAAAAAGCAGCTTGCAAAGTGCATCAGAGTTGTTACTGATTCAACCCAGTTTCTTACAACTTCTACATCTACAATGATAATTGACACTGATAATGGTGACCATGAAGCACTGCACAATCTTGAAATGTCTTCTGAATCATAAAATACTAGAAATGGAAGAGACCTCACGGCAGGACCAACCACCATCTAGATCATCCATTATAGATGCCTATCTAACCTGCTCTTAAATATCTCCAGTGATGGAGATTCCATAACTTCCTAGGCAATTTATTCCGGTGTTTAACCACCCTGACAGTTAGGAAGTTTTTCCTAATGTCCAACCTAAACCTCCCTTACTGCAATTTAAGCCCATTGGTTCTTGTCCTATCGTCAGTGGTCAAGGAGAAAAATTTTAATCCCTCCTCCTTGTAACACTCATTTAGGTACTTGAAAAATGCTATCATGTCCCCTCTTATTCTTCTCTTTTCCAAACTAAACTAACCCAGTTCCTTCAGTCTTCTCTCCTAGGTCATGTTTGCTAGACCTTGAATCATTTTTGTTGCTCTTCTCTGGACCAGGGATGTTAAATTGCAGGTCATCAGCTAATTGAGTAGTTGATGGAAATTCCCCCAACTACTCAATTAGTTGATAAGAGGGGAACTTCAGAGCCAAACTGGGGTTAGCTCCTGGTGGCTCTTAATACATTTAAAAGGCAGAGGCATAGCTGGGAGACAGGTCATGAGCTGGGACAGCTGATTCCTGGCTCACTCCTGGTCCCCTTCACTGCACCTCTGCTTTTTAAATGTATTAAGAGCCTTGCAGCAGATCCTCCGCTATGCCTCTGCCTCTTCTGTCCCCCCAGAGACAGTGCTGGGAGAACCGGCTTTTAAGCCAGTTCCCCCCAAGCACTGGCTCCTTCTCCCCCACTGCTGCCTCTCTCAGAGAGCGGCAGCAAGAGGGGGGAAAGCGACTAGTTGATATGCTTATCGGGTAGTCGACTAGTCACTTACATCCCTACTCTGAACCCTCTCTAATTTCTCCACATCTTTCTTGAAATGTGGTGCCCAGAACTGGACACAGTACTCCAATTGAGGCCTCATTAGCACAGAGTAGAGCGGAATTACTTCTCATGTCTTGCTCACAACAGTTGTGTTAATCGAAAGATTAAATTATGTTCAGTACAGTTTTACTGATCTGGCTGTCTGCCACCTGCAGCCCATGGTGATGATGGAGTGCCATAAGAAAACCTAATGTGTAGAACACTTTACCTGTATACATCAAAGTGCTTCAAGAAACCAACGCTTCTGCAGTGCAGTACTACTATTGGATTGGTGAGTACCTGTATACTATTTTTTTGAAAATTGGTATTCCGTTGGTAAGCATTACTCTTAGTTAACTGGTCTACTTAATTAATTGTCACCCTCTCATTTTCCCAACATGCCACCTGAAGCTTTTATTGTGATCTGGACCCCCTGTAAGGCTTTTGACACAGTCCCACCTCTCATAAGCAAACTACAGAAATATTGTCTAGATCAGGGGTGGGCAAGATCCATCCAGTAGGCTGGAGACAGCCCACCAACTCACTGGATCTGACCTGCAGAGTGCCTACCTGGCCCTGGGGCTGCCCAATTTGGCCTGCGGGCCTCCCTGCTGGGACTCTCAGGCACAGAGTAGTCAGCTGCTTCAGAGCAGTTCCACACTGCTTTAAGCAGCTGGTTTCTCCCTGTGGCTCTCTGCTCCGGGCACTGGGGACGAGGAAGACTTCACAGAAACCAGCCAATGGGAGCGGAGAGATTTTGCTGGGGCGCGGGCAGCATGCAAAGCCCCCCCCCTCCAGTGCCAAGATCAGAGAGTAACAGGGAGCAGCCAACCATTTGGGGCAGCCTAGCACTGTGGCAGACAGGGAGCCTGCCTCAGGGTTCTGCAGGACTACTGGCTGGGAACTGCATAGCTAAGTGCCTCCCAGCAACAGCTTGCCTTTAGCTCACCAGCCCCTCTGACCTCCCAACTCCCTGCCACCACTGTCTTCTGCCTCAAGTCACCAGCAAAACCCTCTGCACCCTCCCTCCTCTCCTTCCCCAGGTCACAACTCCCTCCCAGACCTTCCTATACCCTCTCCAAGGCCAGAATCCTCTCCTACAGCCATGCCCCCTCTCTCAGATCTTGTATCTCCTTCATAAGCAAGTGTAACCCTTAATCAATTACCAAAATCTTGAAGGCCCCCCCATCAAAAATTATTGCCCACTCTCAATCTAGATGAAGCTATATAATGTGGGTGAATAACTGAAAGAGCACACTCATAGTAATTATAAATTGTTTCTTATTAAAATTAGAGGACACATCAAATGGGATTCCATGGGGGTCTTTCATTAACTATTTGGAAGATGGAATGGCAAGCACACATCTAAAGCCTGTGAATGGCAAGCCAGAAAGGGTTGCAAGCAATCAGGAGGACCAGATTATAATTAAATATTCTTGATAAACCGGAGAATACTGAAGTGAATTTTGTTGATTTTTTGATCAAAAATGCAAAATAGTGAATTTAGGAAAGAAAAATGTTTAAATACAAAATAGGAAATAACTAGATAGGCAGCAGTACTGCAGAAAAGACTGGATTATAGTGGGTCTGAAGTTGAATATCAGTGCAATGCTCCTGTGAAAAAGGCAAATGCTATTCTGTGAGGTATTAAAAGGAAAGTTGCACTTAAGAGATGAGAAGTAATTCTTCTGATGTACTCACCACTGATGAGGCCTCAAATGGAATACAATATCCAGTTTGGGGCACTACACTTTAAGAGAGATGTGAACAAACTGACAGAGTCCAGAGGAGAGCTACAGAAATAGGAAAAGGTTTAGAAAACATGACCAATGAGAAAAATGTGAAAAAACTGGCATGTTTAGTCTAGAAAAAAAAAGGTGGAGGGGGAACATGATAATAGTCTTCAATTATTCAAACTATTATTATAAAGAGACTGGTGATCAATTGTTCTCCAGGTCCACTGAGGGTAAAACAAGAAGTAATCACTTCAGTTTACAGTAATGGAGTTTTAGATTAGATACTAGTAAAAACTTTCTAACTAAGATATTACTAAGCACTAGAACAGGTTACCGAGAGAGTTCATAGATTCCCATATTTGGAGATTTTCAGTAACATATTAGAGAAACACCTGTCCAGGATAGTTTAGGTATACTTAATCCAGCCACAGAGGATTAGATAACCTCTTGAGATCTTCTCCAACTTTATATTTCTACATACTGCAGAATGAGTATTATTACACTTACATACTCCTTTGCATTATCAACCAATTTACAAGTCCCAAGAATAGTCACAACAGCAAAACATAAACAAAACTTTTGTTTTATGATGCTATGAGGCAGAAATTCAAGATTCCCTTTCCTAGGCCAATGGGAAAATGGTGAACTATAGAAGGTCACAATCTTGATCCCTGGAAACAAGGTTACTTTCATTTGTACAGTTAACTTGCTCTAAGGCCTTCCATATTATGGGACACACTTCTCCTTGACATTCTACTCAGTTGATTATTGTGGCAGTGTCCTTCAACTATTCTTTTAACTGTTCTGTGTCTCTTTCTTGTACCAGAGTCTGTCCTTGGGTCTTCTCCTCTTCAATCAATCAGCTCTCTCAGATCTAACTACAATTTTTATGTTGATCAACTCAGCAATCTTGTTCACCATACTGTACATATTTTGACACCAATAAAGCCCCAGAATTATTCTTATCTTCATTAGCTTTCATGACAGCTTTCTTTCTGACCAATATTGTCAGAACCTTATCTTACAAATTACTCAGTTTGATAGACCGAGCAATCAACTCGCATTGAACTGCTACAATATGCAAGATTAGGAATTAAAATGAGGCTTTATAGTAGTTTTACTTTAAACTTTTAGCATAGAGAATTTGCTCTTGTGATTAGTCAAGAAATCCACATCACATCAGTAAATTGGTTTAATTCCATTACCCCTGGAAAACCACCACAAAACCTATTTCAGAGTGTAACCTTTGAAATCATTATGAACCACCTCATCTAGACAGTTGAAATTGTGGAATTGCTTAGCTATCCAATCTAAATCTAGCTGCAAAATTATAAAACGAAGTTCCTAGTATTCTTATCTCTTCAGAGGCCAATACCGAGGTCTGGTATATCATTAACCACATAGCAAAAAGCTACATTGAAATAATTCATTGTCTTAATGGAATTTTTTTTTCTGACTTTGCAAATGAAAATACACACATGTTGTCTATAAGCTTCCAGCTTTTATAAAACACTATTTATTGTCCCTCAAAACACCTATTAACTTCTGTTCCATGTTGATCAAAGAAGGCTCAATCCAGCTCCTATTGAGGTCAGCAGGTATTTTATCTAGTCCTAAGTTTTGATGTTCTCTTTAAAATGAAGAATGTGTACAATGACAAGGATTTTTATGTTTAAAACAATGCAATGTAATATGAAGATGGTAGGAAAAATAGCATCTTCTCACCTGGGTGATTCAGGAGGGTGTCAAGTTCTTCTTTGGCCACAACCATTCTTAACTTATCACTGCTATCAATGACAAAAATAATGGCTTGGCCTTCTCTGCATAATATAGAAAAGAGGCAAATGTGTAAGCTCTTTCAGAAACACTGACCAACAAAAGCCTTTCAAAAGAAAACACAAATACACAGAGTAACTTACTTCTCTCCCACGCAGAGCTGTCTAAATCTTTCTACAGGGGAGATTTTACTATAAATCTTTGAGTCTAGGTCAGTTTCCAAAGTCTAGCCATTTGGCTAACAATATAATTTTTCTGCTGTAAGAAAGTTGTCACTTTCACAGCTCATAATGTTTGTTGTACAAAGATCTTTCAGGAGATCTCAGTTCCTGTGCTGAAACACATGAACACATAAAGTGGCAATGGTGGGTGTTGACACAACTAGGCCACACAGGGTATGTCTACACAGCAAAGTTATTTCAAAATAACAGCCGTTATTTCCGTCTACACAGCCAAACCACTATTTCCCCCTCATCTTTACACTACAGCCCAATCTGGCAATTCTTGATCATTACTACTGCCTTTGAAGAGAGTGAGAAATTTGACTAGGTCCACATTTATTAGGTATACTGCATTAAAAAAGCAATAAAAAATAAATTGTAAGCAAAAGCTTAATATTTGCTGTGAATGCTCCAGCCTTTGTAAAACTACTAAAATAAATGGTTAACCACAGGTTTGTATAGTAATACTAGAGTGAAGTTACAATTCTAGCATATATTTACTTACAAAGAAATAAGATTTTCATATGTCACAAAAAACAAACAGCAACAGGAACAACAATATTCAAGTGTCAAGGTACAATATGCATCATTAAATCAGATTCTAAGGTGTTCATATACTCTTGAAAGGTGTGGTGAAAGCCAGATTTGAAAAAAAATGCAAGGATCAAGTACTTGGAAGTACCCACTTATGGGTCGAGATCAGACCTATAGATTAACTTTGAAAATACAGAAAAATGGCTATCTTTACTAGTTTATTATATAACTTTTCTGTATGCTACTTTTAAACTGGAATTAAATCACATATAAAAATGAAAACACTGCACTGGATAGGAAGGATATTGATATTAGAGTGCTCTGTAGTGTCAATTTTACTGACAAGAAACTACACTCTTAAAAAACTGTGGACATGGTAGAAATGGAAATTAACCAGTGGTGTGCACACTGAATTTCTGCCTCATAGTATTGTTGTATTAAAAACTGGCATTAATGTGATCCTTCTATCACACGCTTCGATTGGAATTTCCACAACAGCTTTAATTTGGCACTGATGTTTTGAACCTACTACCTGTAGACTTCTTTGAAAATCCCAGACATCACACACATTTACAACACACCCATCTACCTGCCAATTCTTAAAATGACCAGTTCATTTTTTGTAGGAAAAGCCTTCTATGTTAATCCCCAATTTAAGAAGAAAAATAAAATATTACACAAGGTCTATCACAGAAAAACACAAAATTCAAGTATTCAAAAGGGAGAATTCAAGTTACTTTTTGTTTTACTCAGTATTGGCCTTCATATTCATATAAATGATAGCAACTGACAGTAGTTTAAGGGCTAGATGTCACTAAAAATTAATTTCAAGTTTTATTATCAGAAAGAATTAAATGGAAAAATATCAAGACAGGGTATGCTAAAAGAACAACAGCACAATTGTATTAAGTACATTGGATTTTTGCTATGACATATAGGATAAAAAGTATAAAATTTGTTTGTACCCTGATAATTATATAGTTGCCTAATTTCTTTGGAACTATGTATTACAATTGTCTACAAAAAATATAGCAGGAAATCAGCATTTTACGTTCATCCATGCCTCACAAAGTAGATATGAATATCAGGAAAATTGTAGAAGTGGGTTTTGCCCACGGAAGCTCTTGATTTTTATGTATATAAGATATATATAAAATCTTATGACTGAGCTTTATACACATACTCTTTCATAAGCTGACTTTTTTGGAAAAAAGTCCCACTATGAAGAACGGGGGTTGGCTTATGATGGTGTTCTTCCCAAGCCATGGGAAACAACGCAGGCTGAAGGAAACAGTGCAGGCTGAGGGACGCGCTGGATGCAGGCACGGAGCCTCTCAGCTTCCCTGGCTGGGAGCTGAGAGGCTCTGTGCCTGCAGCTACCATTAGGATCACAGCAGCAGGTGGGCAGGGCAGACTGTATGTCTCAGCTACATGCAGCCAAAGTAGAAGACCAAAGGGCGGGGTCCCAGCCAATGGGAGCCATGGGAATAGCGAACAGCAGCCAATGAAAGCTGAGAGGTTCTATGCCTGCAGCGTCCCTCAGCCCGCGCTGATGAGCTGGGACTAGAAGTCTATACTTGGCTTATAAACAGGTCAGTGACTTTTCACTGTTTTTCACCTTATAGACGTATGTATATACATATGTCTATAACAGGGGTTCCCAAACTTTTTGACACGGGGACCAGTAAATCCATTCACAAACTTTTTGAGGACCAGTAATGTTCATTTGCATATTTGTATATTCATTAATCAAATGATGAATATTCAAATAAGTTGTTTTTGGTCCTCCCAAATCTCCCAGTGCCAGCTTTAGCAAAGCTTTTGATATGGTCACCCACAATATTCTTGCCAGCAAGTTAAGGAATACGGATTGGATAAATGGGCTGTAAGACAGACAGAAAGCTGGTTAGACCAGAGTTTCCCAAACTTTTTACTTTAATTGGAACCCTTTTTTTCAGTTCTGCTTTTTGCAGCCCAAAAATATAAACACATGAAAAACAAACTGAGAAAATACAGGCAGTCCCCGAGTTACGCGGATCTGACTTATGTCGGATCCGCAGTTACGAACGGGGCCCGTCTCCCTGGTCTCCAGCAGACCAGGGAGAGGAAGCAAAGCAGCAGAGCACGCGGGCAGCGGACAGCCCAGACGCGTCTGGGCTG